CCCCCCCCCCCCCCGTGGAGGCTTGAATACCCTCTGAGGTCACCTAGTTTTCTCCTCCTATGTTGCTTCAGTAGCTGCAGGTTTTGTCTATGTCACTGTGGATGGAACTGGCTCCAGCCTTTGGGAAGGGGAAGAGGGAACTCAAGGACATGCAGTTTTCTTATGAAAACAAACTGAGGAGCTGGGCGCCAGTAATCCTAGCTACTCAAGAGGCTGATATCTGAGGATAGCAGATCGAAGCCAACCAGGGCAGGAAAGTCCATGAGACTCTTACCTCCAATTAACAACCAGTAAACTGAAACTAGAGCCGTGTCTCTAAGTGGTAGAGCGCTAGCCTTGAGTGGAAAAAGCTCAGGGATAGCACCCACACCCTGAGCCCCACCATGACCATACAAAAAGGAAGGAAGGGAGGAAGGAAAGAAGGAAGGAAGGAAGGAAAGAAATAAGGAAGGAAGGAAGGAAAGAAAAGAGTATGTGGTGAGGAAGGAGCCCACTTATTTTTTTTATTCACATTGTCACATCTAGCTGTAAAAGAGGCAGAGAAGTGTAAAAAGTGGGACAGTTATTTACTAAAGCAAGAAGGGAAGTGGCAGGGGGGTGGGAAACATAGGCAGCTGATTAGTAGAAGAGCTAGACTAAAACTTTATGACTAGAATCCATGAAGTGTTCACTCCATTTTTCACTACCTTTTAAAACTTACAGTCAGTAAGTGTTTGTTGAATTTAAATACATTAAAATACATATTAAATACATATAAAATATATAAAAATATGTGTAAGGGAAGTGGCACTGTGGCTCAAGTGGCAGAGTGCTAGCCTTGAGCTGAAGAGCTGAGGGACAATGCCCAGGCCCAGAGTTCAAGCCCCATGACTGACAAAAAAACAAAACAAAACAACAACAACAAAAAATATGTGTAAGGTTTTTGGTTGTTTGAAATTCTTCCTTGCTTTCCTGATTACCTAAGTGGTTTTATATCAAACCGTTACTTTTTTTGATAATGTTATTTTTATTTGTATAAGAGAAAACTGATATCCTTCAGTAGGAATATTACAATAAAATTCCCAGAAATTATATTTATTATTTCTATTTGTTTGTTTTGGTGCTGGTCTTGAGGCTTGAATGCAGGGCCTGGGTGCTGTCCTACTCACAGCTCCATTTTTGGTTTGTTGGTGGTTAATTGGAGAGAAGAGTCTCACAGACTTTCCTACCACAACTGTCTTTGACCTTTGATCCTGAGATCTCAGCCTCCTGAGTAACTAACATATAGGCATGAACACTGTCACTCAGCTTCTTTCTAAAGTTTTTTAAATAAAACTTTATTCCAACAGAAATGCTTATTATTTTATGTTTTAAATAACTAATTTACCCACTCATTGATGGCTACTTAATATATATTCATTTCCGGATATTTTATGTATATATGTACATATTTACAAAATGAAACTCCAGTAAATAAATTATTTTGTAACCATATGGCATAAGTTCAGTGACTACCTCTTCATTCTCTCCCTAACATAGCACCATGTAGAGTACATGTAGGACACTCAGAAAGTATTAAATAAATTGGGGAATTTGGGGTAACTTTCTATATATGTTCTTTGCTATCCTTCTTTGTTTATGTACATAGTTAAGAATTCCACACAATGTAAAAATATTACAAATGGAGCACCCAGTAGTTAAGATCTGTAATTTTAGCTACCCTGGAGGCTGGGAACTAAGAATTAGTTCCAAGCCAGCCTAGGCAAGAACATCCTTCAGACGCTTATCTCTAGCTAGCTACAAAAAAAACCCTGGAAGTAGAGCTATGGCTCCAATGTTATAATGCTAGCCTTGCCTTGAGCAAAAGAAGCTCAGGGACAGGGCCTAGGCCCATAGTTCAAGCCTCAAGACCAGCCCTCCTCTCCCTCCCCACCCCAAAAAAAAGAAAAGAAAAGAAAAAAGCTTTCCCCCATTTATACCTAATTTTAACTGTCTATTGCTAAAAGAATAGAACATAATGTCCTCAACATATAAAGTAATGAATGAAAAAAGCATCACTTTTAATACAAGCAATGCTTTATAGCAGATTTTGAAAAATGTAGTTTATAGAAGCAAAGTACTAAATGTTCTTCAGACAGGAATGATTTAGAAAATATACTATGACTATGAGCAGCAGATTTTTTTAAAGTCACATGGACGACCTTGTTACTTATTTCTGTTCCTTGGTATCTAAATGAATAATCTACCAGTTCTTTGAAGTTCTGTAGAAACATATAAGATAATAATTCCGACTTTTTAAATACTTTAATGATTTTCTCTTTCCAGTAGCTATTTGTTTTCAGGAGAACGCCATGTTCAGTACACTTTAGATTTTGTTTTGATTGGAATATGGGTCAGCACTTGCCATGATATTACTTCTCACTCCATCCCCAAAAGCTTAGAGGTGTACAACAATGTTTAGTTCACAGGTGGGTCTCCAGAGGGACAACTGTTTAGGCTGGGCCTGGCTGCCAGCTCTGCTTTAGATATCTCTTACTCTTGTTCTGAGACAGCAACCTACCCTGAACATATTTTCCTCTGTCAATGGCAAAAGTGTAAAAGAACAAATGGAAGTACTTGAGCTTCTTGAGGTCTAAGCTAGGAACTGGCACAACCTGTTTGCCACCAGTCATGTGACCAACTCTACAGTCAAGAAAACACATGGAAAACACACTTGTACAGTGTTAGTCATATGAGAAAGTGACTTAGTGAGAATAGCGTTGATAAAGCCACTTACAATTGTTTTGTCTTAGCAAGTTGCAGTATTTGAGTATGTATAATGACAGTAATTTTAAGGTAGCTTTGAGGTTCTTCTTTGTTTTTTTTTTAATAGCTAAGTTTATGGATAAAATTAGGAGTCAAGTTAGGCTTGAGCAGAAAGGTAGCTATTGAACCATGTCACCTAAAATAATGAATGCTATTTCTGCAAGAATTGGTTCAAGAATATGGCATTCAGTGTTAGAATATTTGGCATAGCATTGTTCCAAGGTGACCAGTTTGAAAAAAATAGTGATCATTTGAATATTTTGTTCCAAAATATTTTAAAATGATAAAGTGGATTGCTCATGGCCATATTTTACCATTTTGTGTCAAAGTAGAAAGAGCCATAGAAGCTCATTCCTGATCTTTTGTCTCACCCTGGAAAAATATGTTTTCTCTGCAGATTCTTATTGCCAAGTCACCTTTGGCTCCATTCACCTCATTTGTCTACAGCATCAAGGAGGAAGGCCTGGTTCTTCAAGGTGAGATCCTTAGATTGTATCACTTATTTAAGCTGAGAATACTCAGTGCTGCCCATTGCTAGTGGTAACTACTGCTGTGGTCCTTTTGGAATCTATTTCAGGACAGATTCAAAGGCCAAGGTGAATAAAATCAAAAGATTAACAATTGTAGCAAGAATTTGATAGAAGTTTGAGGAAGGGGGTGAGAGACAGCTACAGAATTTAATAGGTGAGTGGAAGGGCCTTAGCCGTAGCTCAGTGGTACAGTACTTGTCTAGCATGTGCAGGGCCCCATCATTGCAAAACTAAGCAAAACCACAGTGGAACAACCAAATAATAAGAATCAAATCAACAAAGTGAGGGATTGCCAACACCTGTCTTCTTCACAGATTCTGGGGTGTAAACTGGGCAATAAATGCTTCACAAGCTGCAGCATTATCTGGGCCTGCCACCTACAGGACACTATGCCAGGGCCCCAGGAGCCCATTTCCATGGTTTTCTTGTAGTTACTCCATTTCCTTTCCTTGTGTTCAAGTCCTAACAGGCCCTGCTCCAGGCCTTGCCAACATGGGCCTTGTGGCATAAACTTAGACTTGGAAGGAGCTGAGTTCTTGCTCAAAGTGGAATATCTCAAGGCCACAACTGAGCTGTCGTGGTAGCTCATTCCAAAACTCTGGGTACTCTGATGGTTAGGAAGGGCTCCTGACTGCCGAATTCTTCCAGAAAAGAAATTAAATACACAGGGATACATTCAAACACAGTTCAACACCATTTGAATGTATAAAGCTGCTCTATAGATTAAAAAAAAAAGAAGAAAGAAAGTGTTCAGGATACACATCTGTTGCCTACTATCAGACAAGAAGCCCATACAGAGATACATAGGTGAGCGTCTAGTTTGTACCTGAGAGAAGCATTAGCATTAATTTGTGTGGGAACCATGTCTGCCCTGTAGGAGTTTGCAAATTGAGGTTTTTCTCTCAGGTTTGTGAAACAAAGCAGTTTCTGCAATAGCCCCCCTGAGGATGTACATGGCATTGAAGATACACAGCAGGGATTCTGTGGGTAGGCCCGGAGTTTGTGCTTCTGAGGGAGGAACAGGCTGCAGCCCTCCCTGCTTTTCCCCTTCTAAAATATATGCTCCTTAATGGACTCACCCAGCAGTGGGGTTGTTGGTACAGCAGCTCCCAGGTCCACAGAAAACTGGGGTAAGAACTGCTGACCTTTGGCTCTTAGCCTTTGACTTGTGCTATCCAAGTTCCTTGGTAAATATTTTTTTTCACAATTGCAAATATTGTTTTCTGACAAAGAGGCAGAGATTTTAAGACCAGATTAAGCAAAGCAAATAGCAGGCCCCTTTGTTACATACTCTGTAAGGGTGTATCACTAATAAGCAATCAGCAAGCTAGGTTTATATTTACCCAGTTCACAGAGTGGCTTTGAGCTCTTCATTTTTAGAGGATGTCTTAAAAGATTAGAAATCTAGCTGAAAACAAGTTTAAATGAAAATTTCAAGAACTTGTATGGAAGATTACAAGATAAATTTCAGGAGGAAAAGAATCTGTTCCACCTAGATAGCTTGTATTAAAAGCTGTACTATAATGTTTCTTTGATAAACAGCATTTCTAGGCCTGGTCTAACATGGCTTGAGGTAATTTGTGGGGACAAGATTCACTGGGTTGCCTCCCTAGAACTCATGACTAAGATCATGGTTTTGACAAGGACATTTAGATAAATTAGAAACTAGAAATGCAATGAATTGGTAGAATTTTAAAACAGTAACTACAGACAACATGCAACAAGAGGTGATATGAGAAAGATAGGAGGTATCTTGCTAAAGACAACTGACTGGAGCAGTGTGTTTCAAAAAGAGGAAATTCAGAAAGAAGTCTTCTGATGTAAGATTCCCACAACCTGTGAATTTGGGAAGGAAAATGCCTGGGAGACTTCAGAACCTCACTGGTTGCTTTGGAAGCAACCTGTTCCAACCCTTCCCCACCATCCCCACCATCCACCTCCCCCCTCTCAGCTACGTTTCCCTCTTTGAGGTTTCTAGACATTGGAGAGCCCTCCTGCTTCTATCAGTCATGAACCAAATATAATCTTATATATTCCTGGCCTTCTTGCTATGTGCTCCAAGATTTTGGGGGGGAGAGGCTGGGAGTATGGCTAGATATGCTCTCCAGAGGGGAAAAAAACCCAACAACAACAGGGGAATCCTTGGAAAGAACCCTTGGATCTCAGTTCTAGCTTTGGTATGAATTTGAAAAAACAAACAAACACAAAACTCTAGGGACCTAGTTTTGTCAGCTTGAAAATGAAAATATGATTCAAGGCTCTGGAAAGTTTGCTGTGACCCATTAGTGGCCTGTAAAGTGAGACTGAGTCACAACCAGCACTTAGAAAGGAAGGGAAGAAGGAAGTTGAGAATATAAAATTATCAGATTATATCACATATAAAAATATCAGATTTTCTCATATAAAGATATTTATTGTGTGATTCATTATAAGTGTCATCTAGCCTGGGTGATTTTTAAAGGTGTCTCTCTTCAGCCTTACCCAATTCTTCTAGGAGGCTTACCATTCATCTAGCTTGGTATAGTTGTATCCTTGAGATGCCAAAGGCTGGAACATAAGGCTTATTTTTCCCTATTGTTACCAAATGACTGAGCTAAAACATACCTGTCCAATTCCCTAGGTTTGGGGTTTTTGTTGTTGTCCTTTGGTGCCAGTTCTAGGGCTAGAGCTTAAGGGCCCGGCTTCTTTTGCTCAAGGTTATCACTCTACCGCTTGAGCCACAGCTTCAGTTCCAGATTTTTGTGGGGAGAGGAGGTTAGTTTTATTGGAGATAAGATTCTCATGGACTTTTCCTGCCCAGGCTTCCTGAGTAGCTAGGATTACAGATGTAAGCCACAATTCCCCAGATTTAAAGCAGAGAGACCTTTGCTCCCTGGAAGGGGACACAGAAACTTGGCTGGTGTGAACGACTGCTTTGACATGATGGCCAGGGATGGCATGGAGTTGGTACACTGAGCTCTGGGTAGCACCTGCAACCATGTCTGTGGGGCATGGAAGCAGAGAAGGAAATGGTAGACTGAGGCAGTTCCCATGCTTCCAACTAAGAGAGAAGCCACCTGCACCATGGCTTGACATCCATCTCTATAATAAAACCAGGCTGGAATGGTGGGAAAAAACACTCCAGGCAGGGTTCCCTGGAGGCAGGTGAACATGGGAATGGTCCCTCCATGCCTTTTATTCCAAGATCCTATAGGCTTCAGACCTTGGAGGGATTTTTTTTTTCCTTTAATACCTGAACTCTCTGAGTGCACTGGCTGGCCCAAGGAGGGAATAAAAGGTGAGGGTAAAATGCGATTGCTCAGCTCCACAGGCCATTCTTAGGGATTAGAATTCTGAGAACCGGCGGCTACTAGGGGCCTGACACCCTTCTCTCCCCTTTGTTCACAGGAATGGGGAGGGGGACAAAGAAAGGGCAGGCTAGAGGGATGAGGAGCTGGTTAGAGATTTCTCAGGCAGCTTTTTGAAACATTTGAAGGAGCCTGTCCATGCTATTGTAGTAAAAGAGAAAGTGGAACTATTCTCCTTTTGCCAAAAAGAAGAAGAAAAAGAAGAAGGAGGAGGAGGAAAGAAAGAAAAAGAAAGAAAGAAAGAAAGAAAGAAAGAAAGAAAGAAAGAAAGAAAGAAAGAAAGAAAGAAAGAAAGAAAGAAAGATAAGGAAAACAAACTCACCTCCCAGCATCTTCAGGAGGCCACAGGACTTGGCCATTAACATGATGGTAATACCATCCTTTGTCTGCCTGGCCTCTCCTGGCTGGGCTCTAGGCCCTGGAAATTCTTGGGCCTCAAAGGAGAGTGAGCTGGAAGCCACCAGCTTCACCAACAGCTCAGCCTGAGAGGGAGCCAGGTAGGGGCAAAAGGAGAGTTCAGCCCCTTTGTAAAACTGGAGTAGGAAAGATGTAGATGAGGGGGAGTCCTGAATTCATTTCCCCCTTTGCATCTTCCCAGTGAAAAGCCCATTACTCACCAAATGTAAAAACTCTGAGAGTGTTGGCTAGCCCAGAATGAGGGAAAGGCAAACAAGTTGACTTGAGTAGGGCAGGCCTCCAAAGAACCTGACTACAAAAAGAAAGGGAAAGGAAGGGCCAGGTGCTAGTGACTCATGTTGAAGTAATGACTCATGTTGAAGTAAGGAGGTCAGGTCTGGCTGGTACCATATTGGCCACATGGTGGATGGTAGGGTCTGACATTTTGTCTTTATGCTGGAGGAGGACCCCCCCCCATCACCTGTCTCCCAGGTAATGGGTGTGCCAGGATCCCTGGAGGCAGGAATGGGCACTTGGCTCATAGGTTATCGAATCTGTCAGTCCAGTGCCTGGGACTGGGAATTTCCTGAGGATCTGCCCCCTGCACCAACCTATTTAGGCCTGGACCAGCCTAACGGCCCTTACACCATGCCACATGTGTCTCCGTGATCGTGTCCTGTGTCCTGTGTCCTGTCTCCTGACTCATCGCCAGTCATCATGGCATCCCAATTCAGCTCTCCATTGAAGCTGAATTGGATTGTTGGTATTGTTTTTGTTCTTTCTTTCCTCTTTAGCATATTTCCTAGCTGTGTTATGTGTATTTGCGAGCCACAGGCCTTTGTAACAACTGGCTGCCTGCATCCTGCTAACGGTCTAATAAAGACTCCAGTATTATATATTTTAAAATGTGCCTTCTGGGATGATTCACCTTACAACAATGCCTATAATCCTAACTACTCAGGAGGCTGAGATTTGAGGATCATGGTTCAGAGCTAGCCAGGGCAGGAAAGCCCCTAACACTCTTATCTCCAATTAACCACCAAAGAGCCAGAAGTGGAGCTGTGGTTCAAGTGATACAGTGCTAACCCTTGAGTGAAAAAATTCAGGAACAGCACCCAGAACCTGAGCTCAAATCCCGTATCATGATGTGCATGTGTGTGTGTGCGCACACACATACAATACACACAAAGGAGAGTTGTTTAGTGAAGTCTAATTCCACCTTGTATCTGCCATGGTTGTATCCTTTGTCTCCTCAGCAAGCCCCATTGTAGTAGCACCCAGAACATGGTAATGGCAGTCAGCCTGTGCTTCTGACGCCACAGGAGGCCCAGGGGAAGCCAGCACCTCACTTTTCCCAGCGAGCGTCCAAGGAAGGGGCTGACCTGAGAAGAGAGAAGGGAGCACTAAATCCCGCCCAAGCTGTTCTATACTAATTTATCTGACATAGATCCAGAGAGGTTTCTGGATTCAAAACTAGCTTCAATCACTTGGTATAGGGACTCAGAAGAAACAATGTTTTGTTGTTACTGTTTTTGGGTTTTGTTTTGATTTGTTTTGAGAGCTGGAAAGCTATGTGCCTCCTCTTTCTGGCTTTGCTGTTCCAATCTAGAATGTCATGCTTGACCACTTTTTGAAGCATATCAGAAAAACCATTCACCTTCTTTATTCCCTAGTCACAAACTTAGGTTAAATTCTTCCATACCATTTTCTCAGTCACTAAGTCAACTGGATATTTTAATGGAAAAAGTCCCTCTCCCCCTCCCCCACCAAATACTGCCATTTCAGTTTGAATTAGTAACCTAGTTGTATGTTTTCCGCCTGGTGGACTCGAAGTAACCTAGAAGATTCTCAATTTCCACCCCAGTATGGAGGTATGAACCTGGTGAATTTCCTCCCTGGCCCTCCTGCGGAAGTGCAGACAAAGAGCACAAACTTCTCTCCCAAAAGTCATGGAGAGAAGAGTAGTGTGGGCTGAAACATTTGTCCTTGTCAGGCCAAGTGTCACCGATGCCTTGGAAAACACATATAACAAATTGCACCTTTTTAAAAAATTTTCAACAGCTCAAATTTTATTTTAGAAACCAATACAGCTACAGGAAGTTGATTTCGAAAACCTTAGCTAAACCATATGAACAGGGCTGGGAAGGTGACTCAGTGGTAGAGTGCTTGCCTTGCATGCATGAGGCCCTGAGTTCGATTCCTCAGCACCACATAAGCAAAAAGAAAAAAAGCCAGAAGTGGCTCTGTGGCTCAAGTGGTAGAGTGCTAGCCTTGAGCTGAAGAGCTGAGGGACAGTGCCCAGGCCCAGAGTTCGGGCCCCATGACCGGACCCAAAAAAAAAAAAAAAACCATATGAACACAGTCAGTACAAATACAAAAAAAATCTAAATATACTTCAGAAGCAGAAAGAAAACCTTAAGTTGTATGTACTAAAGAAGTATGTACATTTTTATCTTTAATATATATTCAAATACTGCTCTCCAAAGGGAATTATCAATTTACATTGTCTCTAATTATGTATTTCCTGTCAGGTTCCCATGGACAGTCTTATTATATATTCTTTATAAATGTCTATTTCATCTTTGTCATTGGAGTGTATGTTTACTATATTCTCTAGAGAGATTCACTAATCTGTGCATTTTTGCATGTACTTAAATGTTTACTCATAGAAGTTATTTTATTACTTCTAAAGTTAATTGTGAGCATAGTTCCCCCAAAAGAGTGTTTTTAGGCTTTATCTTAGTTCTTAGTTCTTATCTTGGTCTTTGGGTGAGGAAACTTAAGTTCCAAAAAGGTAAAGTGAGTGAGATTCACTGTCACAGGAGTGAGTTTGCAGCCTGGACCTGAGATTTTGGAAAATCAGAAATGGGTTGGAGCCCTCTCCTCTTCCATCATGGCGGTCCCTTCAGCCGCTTAATCTCTCAAGCTCTGCAGGTCTTTATTGACATACTCCAGGCCCATCCTGAATCTGGCAGTCTTGAAATTCTAGGCAAAAATAGACCACTTACACCGATAGAATGTTCCTTCAGGAAATTCCCTGCGAGCAGTTGGATATAACCACTCTCTAAACTAACAGTATTATAAAGTTTGTTGCCTGCTCCTTTAGCATTGGGAAGGAACATAGTTTAGAGCTGGAATAGTTCAGATTCCCATGTTTGTCCAGGCTCCATCACACCTATGGTATTTTTGTCATGGTCCCTAGAATAGCTGAACATCATGTCTTCTATCCAGCAACAGAATTTATGTGGAATATAACATGATGGTGGGAAGAATGATGGAAAACATTGTCCTTTCTCTAAGGACATTAACTAAAAGCTATTAACTTTATTTGTGCTATATATAATGTTGACTAATATGTATATATGCAAACACATACAAGAATGGCTGAAGATATAGTTAACAATTTGAGTGCTTTTATACCCAAATAAATGTTGGGGCTCTATTACCATGAGAGAAAGGGGGAGAAAGTGAATGTTCGATGCCACAGCCCTTTCATAAGGATACAGGTGGACCCGTTGCAACAATGAGAAGTACAAGTTGTCATGTCAAAAATGAATTTTACAACTTTGGGGGGGGGAGGATTAGGTGGGGGGTGGGGGGAGGCTGGGAAGGGATGGGAAGGGGAAACAAAGAAGGAGGCTACAATGCTTGATAAGAAATGTACTCACTATCTTGCCCATGTAATTGTAACCCCTCTGTACAGTATTTTCACAATTAAAAAAAAAAGATCCTAGTTGTAGAGCTTCATCCCCACCATAGTGTAGACCCTAGGACTAGACTTACTGCATATAGTTGGTATTCTTGAAATGCTGTGTAAATACTACGTGTATGTTAAAAATGATCTCTCCTCCTCCTCCTTCTTCCACCCCGTCTTTGATTCCAGAGTTTTGAGCAAAGGAATAGTGTCACCATCAGTTATTCTATCAAGGATCAATACCCCCAAATCTTAGCCCCCTCTTCTCAAACAGAATCTCCCTCAGGCAGGAACTTTAGTATATGTTGCACAAGTATGGGAGAAAGAAACTTGAATAAAAGTTTCTAGCGCTTATAGTACAAACTAGGTCCTGAACTTGGGCCCATAGGCTAAATATATTTTCCCCCTCCAATGTGCTTTTCTGCTTGCATTAAAAAAAAAAAACAGAACAAAATGTCAGCTGAACTAAGATTATAGAAAACTGAGCCTCTATCCCAATACCTGGACTAAAGTGAGACTGGATCCACAGTCCTTTTTGAGAACCTGCAAGCCTTGTGTAGACTTAACAATTTGCATTTGTGAAAATGTCCAGGTAGTAACACCAAAGGATGTTAAATTAATTCTAGACATTGATGAAAACTTCTTTCAAAAGGAGTTGGTGTTCTTTCTGGAATACTGTTTAAGCTCCATGCCAGCTAGTTCAGTTCAGCAAGTATTTGCTGAACATCTATTGTTTGCAAGCAAACAACACTCATCTAAGTGGGGAGGGGGACAAACAAATAAAGCAACAGTTTCTAACTCAGAATCCAATTAGAAACAAAGCAGTTAGATAAATTTAGTAGTGGTATCTTTAAGTAGTTGTCCAAGGGTGTTGGATAAGTTTAATGGACAGCAAACTGAGACACTTGCTATGGTGGCTCAAACGGCGGGTCATACAAGAATAGATAGACGCTTTCTCATTTAGATGACAGAAGAGCCTCCTAAGGGCTGAGAGCATGGGGACTTGAACTGAATTCAGCTTCTGAATCCTGACAAAAACTGCATCCCATTGTCTCTTGACAGAGGCCATTTTCTTTTGCTGTTGGAGGGAGATTTGAGGACACTGGGCAGTGCTGATTAGTTCCATCACTAATGCTGATTAGTGACAAATGTTGAATCATGCTGACTAATGTGTTCTAAATGGATTGAGTCAACAATAAAGGGAACATTCTGAGTCAAGAGTTCAGGTCCTTGAATCTCCCCCTGTGATCAAGTGTAAATCACTTAGCCTCTTAGAACCTCATGTTTTATTTTGTCAATTCAAATGTGTTCATCCCAAAGAATCCAATAAGTCACCTTGACGTGAAAGTGCTTTCCAGGCCTCAAAGGTAACAGAAATGCTTAACAACAACTACCTGGCTTACGCAACGTTGGGTTATTTATTAGTGATATGTACAGAATCGGAACATCCATCACATGCTGTTCGCTAGCCATGCGAAACTTCCACTTCCTCTGACTTACCATGAGAACTGACAGTGAGCTCCACTCACAAACGCTGACAAATAGAGGAGCTTTTGAAAAGTCTTCCTATCCACCTACTGGGGCGTCTGTGTCTTTCAACAACAAATGCCGCCACAGAACTGAGAGCTTGCATTGCACACACAGCTCTTTCTCTTCTTTTGACATGTCCCCAGCTAGACTGCTTGAGAACCTGGCCTTCCATGTCCAGATGTTTACTGAATTCTGAAGGCTCCCCAAAGGGCCCAAGTTCTTTTGTTGCTCTCCAAATCATTTCCCACAGAGACTGACCGATGTCCTGAAGGAGCCCTTCAATAGGGAGGATAAATGAAGGCCGGTGAAGACATGACCCCCTGAGGCTTGCCCACATCCACTGGAACAAAGGGTCTGAGGCACAACCTTGTAAGGAGTGTTTTGGTCAGCAGCCTTCCTAAGAGAGGCTGAGTCTCCCCCACAGGGCTGCTTTCAATAGCTACCATCATAGTGGAAGTACTGGGCATTTGTTAAGGGCTCTGGTGTGCTAGGTGTAGCACAAAACATCTAAATCATGGTCCTTGGCCTTTGTGAGGGCTTCCTGGCTACAGATGGCAGCTGGCTTTCTCAGGGGAAACTTAGGGAGAGTAGAGAAATCTGGAGAGGGGCTCTTGCGTTCCTACATGACCTTTTCCCACCCAGTGCCCTTTGTTTGTAACTGTGGAGAGTCAAGCCAGAGCTGTGGGACCTCAGACCCCCACCTGCACTGTGTCTCTGGATGTCTCTGGCAAGCAGAGTGCCTAGGTAGATGAGCAATAGGGATTTGCAGACTGCTGCTGCAGGGTTTTATTTAGATTGCTGATGGATTGTTAGTGCATATGTTTTTTGTTGTTGTTTTCTTCTCAAATTTCTCTTTCTCTCTCTCTCTCTCTCTTTTTCTCTCTCTCTCTTTCTTTTTCCTTTCAGGTTAACAGAGGCCATAGGGATACTGTGACCTTTGTCTAGAGCTGATGGGGGGTGTGATTTGTGAAATGAAACAGGACTGTGCTACTTGGAAGAAGGAAACGGAAGCCAACATAATGAGGATTAATTAGTTGATTGCTGTTGAGATGGTAACAGATTTGCTCCTAGACCATTGAGCCTGTGATTTCGGACCTAGCAGGGAAGGTGTGGACGAAGAAGCCTTTGTTCAGAACTCAAGATGTATGTAAGGCTGAGGTCTTTGCACTTACATAGCACCTTTCAACCAGGCACCTCAAAGCCGTTTAGCCACATTAATTAATTAAAGCCCACAATCTTCCTGGGGAGAGGAGGAGGGTGACTAACAAGATTTGTAATTACAGGAGGGAACATTTCCGAATAAAGTATTGTCTACCAAATAAAGAGAGTGGTGTAAAGGAATTGGGGGTCTCCCAAGAGTAACGGATTCATAAATGAAATCATGGAATGACGGGGAAGGCTGAGCGGGCGTGAGTGTGGAGGCACGCCCCCGTGTCACAGGGAGGTCCGTGACCTCAGAATTCACTGACAGTTTCAGATTCAACCACGAAGAGTATGCATGGTATTAGTGGCATTTGGGAGGTCATTAGTGGCCTAACTATTGTAGTGTAAATGCAACTTCCACTGGTATATTGTTGTATCACCCTACAGAACAAAGACTGAGATTCAGAGCAGAATTTAATAAAGGATGAAATGATTTCTATAGATTTCAAACCCAAAGCTGGGCCAGTCAATTAGCAAATAAATCAATCGGTGACCCATGGGATAATTTAGTTCTTCCCAGCAGAACACCCAGTCTATGAATTCCTACTACTCTGAAGCCCTGGAGCAAAACTTCAGCTGAGTTCTTTCAGTGCAGTGTCTGTGAGGTTTAACCCCTTCCAAGGCTGACTACCCAAGTTGTTAGTGACTCCAAACTGTCTACTGTAGAATCACTTTTACCTGCACCCCCTTCAGAGATTTTAAGCAGCTTAGAAGTCTCTGGATATGGATGAAATATAAGATATGGGTTAGAATCAAACCATCTCCTATCAGTGCCCCACAGAGAGCTGTGCACAAAGGCACAAGGGAGTAATAAAGAGATAGCAGTCTGAGTTTGTTCATGACTTAGTAAATTGTTGAGCTTTTATCAAGTGCTCAGGTGAAGCTCCAAAGTAATAGGATGCATACCTGTCCTCAAGAAATGTATTACACAAAGGCTCAAACTAATAATTAAAATAAAAAGCTAAGTGAGGTATATTTTGAGAACTTGAGGTGTTCCACAGAATTTTTGTGAAAACCAAATTGAGCTTTGCAACTGATTACACATAAGTTTCCCTTGAATTCTTGTGACATGAATTGGTGACAGAGTTGAGAACATACTACCCCAAGTAGGAGAAAACAGCAGAAGCAAGAAGATTACTGTCTCATCCCCCCCCCCACCCCCTTCTTCTGAAGCAGGTCATAAAACCTGGATGTCCTTCCTTTCAAATAGATCATTAAAACGTCATTCCAGAGGTGCCCTCCTTATACCTAGAAGAAAGGAATGTCCTTATCTCTGAAGACACAGTGATGTACAACAGAATATGAACAAACAGACCCTGCTAAGTCCCTCCTAGTTTATTACCATTAGATCATACCTCTTATGCTCCAATCATACTTCCGCATGACTGTCCTAAGTATAAAGATCCATAGGTTTCCTTATTTCTTTGTGTCTTCATTTGTGAAGGCTCCCATGTTGTGTAAAATTTGTGTTAAATAAATGCGTATACTTTTCTCTTTTTGATCTTTTATTATAGAGGCCTCAGTCAGGATCCTGCAACCAGTGAGAACAAGATTCTACTTTTCTTCCCCTATGGTTTCTGGGGCCCATCTGATGTGGCTAAGACATTTCCCTGTAGGGAAAGCCAGTGGAAAAAGAATGCTAACCAAGATCATAAAATAATCATGATGATGATGAGATATGAGTTTAAAAGAGGGGTCTACCTGGGGTGATCAGTTGGGTGGGGAAGAAGACACTAGGGAGTAAAGAAGGTCAAAGTACAATCCATATAAATAATATAGATGGCTGGATAGATAGATAGATAGATAGATAGATAGATAGATAGATAGATAGATAGATAGATAGATATGAACGTAGCATGAAATCTGTCAATTTTATTGCAGAAAAGGGGCAAAGGGCTAAGGGAATGTAATAGAGGGGCGTGAACTTGATGAGGAACCTAGACAAGAGAGGACCTGTCTCTTACTGGAAAGGACAGAATTTTGACTCAAGTGCAGACAGTCCCTGTTTTCCTCACTTTCATCCCTTTCCCCTGTGGTATTTCTGTTCACAAGCCATTGAAGCCTCTCACTAAACTACTTCCCACAGTACTACGATACACACAATTCTATAGAATGCCTGTGAATGTTTTCCAAATAAAAGAATCACCAGAAATCCTATGGTGGTTAGATCTTCTGCTCTAAGCAGCAACTGCACAAGGCCTGGGCATAAAGCTGAGAAGATGGCAGAAGGTAATCACTTTTTACCACCATCAAAGGGCAAGAAAGTTGCCTAGCAAATGGGTGCAGGAAGGAAGACACAGGTGGTAACAGGTTGAAAAAAAACCTTTCAGTCTGACATGCATGCTAGCAAGGTATCTTACATTGTTACATTTACTGAAAGTAATTAATGATGCAATTCTGAGATGTTAAGAGTATATGCATATATATGTGTGTATATCTATATCTATATATCTTGTGCACATGTATGTGTGTTTGTATGAATGTCTACCCAGAACACAGCTATTTGGTTGAGGCACTGCAGTCGGAGGTAGAATTGAGAATATTTCTGGATTAACTCAGAGGTGCGGAATTCTGTGGATGCTTTCTTTTAAGTTGTATATTGGGGAAAAAACCAAAAGATACTGCTCAGAGATAGCAACAAAATAAAGACTGCCTAAAGAGACTTCTGGAAATGGAAGTTAATGGTTTAGGTTTGGGGCAAGAAGTGGATGAAAGCAAAGGGAAATGTGAAATATCTGATTCTGAACAAAACCAACAACAACAAAAAAATGTGGTCTTAGAACTACTTGCTTTTCATTTTAGTATTATCTCTATCACTTTTGTCCTCTAGCTGTGGAAAGAGAACTTGTATTTCACTGCAGAATTCAAAGCCCTCAGATAGAAGAAAGGAACCCATTACACTTCTAAGTTCAATACTGTAAGTATGAGAGAAAACACATTGCCTACTTTTCTGACTTCTGCTGAAGCACAGCTCAATTGAAACACCAATTTTCCAGCACTCCAAATGAATCTGAGAGGAAAGAAAAACTAAATCATAGAGTACAAATCTCAGGAGAGATTTGATTTTGCTGCCAAACAAACAACCCTCTCCCCCTCCCAAAAAAAAATCCCTTAAAGTCTGTCCATGTCGTGAGTCTCTAGAACCACTGTCTCCTATGTAGTGACTTAGAATTGTACTTCAATATTAACATGCCCTTCAAAAAGCTGCCACTTCAGAGTGAAAGAGGAGAGATCAAGAAAAAAGTGTGAGGAGAAACACTGACAGTTAAATTCTTCCTCCAAGGAGTCACATACATTACTTATATGTCTATAACTACACAGCTGGGCAGCCATGCCAAACACCAAGGAAATGGAAAAGTACAAGCTTCCCCTGTGTTTAGGAGGAAAAGAGAACTAGCTATCAATAAACACACGTGACTGCCACACACCACTATTCTTTTTCATTTTTTTCTTTATGTGAACCTTTCCTTGGATCATCTGGCATACATCAAAGATCTACAGAGTGGTGTTGAGGAAGGGATACCAAATGGTTTTGCAGCCCGTTTTTATCTACACTTTTTTGAAAGAGAGTATCCAGAAAGGACCAGTTAACTGTAGATACTTTCCCCTTCATGCTATCAGACACAAGAAACTCTGGAAAAGGTCAGTGGGTTAAAAGGAGCCTATGGCCTGGTTTTAATAATACATTTAAGATGGAACAACCAGCTTTGAATAGTCCAGGACCATCATGCTCTGTGTGAAAATGCTTCTGGAAATGTGCCTTTCTACTTCCATTCCTTCTCTTCTTACTAGACATGATTTAAATTCCCTTTCAGCCCTGTGACTTTTCCAGAAAGCAACTCTCCCTCAGTGGGGAGGAGTGGGGAAGAATTATAAAACTTTCCCTTAATATTCTTCCAATAATGAATTCCTGCTCTGAGTGGTCTACCTCCATGTGTTTTGAGTCAAGTGTCAATGGCAGCCTTGCCAGGGGACATTTCCAAGAGACTGCCGACATAAAAGATGAGGTCTTGTATTGACAAGACCCGTTCCTGCATTTCTGTCTAGTTTAGTCCTCTTGAGTCCTGAAATCAGAGGTGAGAAATGATTCATGAGATCTTATTGGTGAACCAACACAGCTCTTATACCTCTTGGTTCTCTTTAACCAGGTAAAAAGATATTATTTCAAGGCTTCCTTTCAGAGAGATTTGTGGATCCAGATTTTGGTCATGTAAAAGGGACTTTCTAAGACCAGATAAGCTCTTTGTAGAGGCCAAGACTTCCTTTCTTTAGAACCTAAGCATAGTGTTGGCCTGCTCTGACATCCTAAGAACAAAAGAAGAAATTAGGTCATGCTATTTCCTGCCTCAAACTTAGTCTTAAGAACACCAATGGCTTCAAAGTCAGCTATGGTGGTGGGACCATGTTTAGTAAAAGAGCTAGCCTACTCATTCTCCTTACAGCAACCTACCCACATGGTAGGTTGGGTTCTTTTCATTTGGAAGAATCTTAATTTGCCTTAGGTAACATTAAGGATTTGAGCAATGTAAGATTTTAAAGTCTTTAGGAGGGGAGGCAGCCCTGGGTTTGTCACCATGTACCTGCTTTTTTCTGCATTCTTATCCTGGATCCTGTAGTTCTACTTACTGGAAATTTCAGTACATATGGATGTTATTGATGTCTGTAGCTCCTTTGGGTGACATCTCAACTTCTCAACTTTATTTCCCATTCATTCTTTCACTTGCTTAAAATTCCTAAGGAAGAATCAGATTGGCTCAGACTTGATCATCAGCCAGCCAATCAAGTTTGGGCTTAGGAGTCACTGAAAACATGGCTGCCTGAGCTGCAAAAGATGTGGGTAAGGGTGCTTGTATTAGAGGATCTTGAGAAAGCAAGGTAATAATAAACTCCAATACATGCTCTATCCTTTAACTGGTTTGCCCCTTGATACCCATTCTCTCGCTTGCTTCATCCTATCACTGTAGACCTGGCCTTGTCACATTCTGTCACAGCTCAGGCATATTGTATCACTTCTCCATCCCCCAGTTAGTCCTGCTTCTCTGTTGTTTACATACACAGTCACAGATGAATAGGATCAGTGTGCAGAAAGGTGAGACATACTTAGAAATACAAGAAAGACTTAGGGAGGTGTGTAATGA